ATCTTAAAAAAAAAAAAAAAAAAGACAAATCCTATTTTGATAAAGTGCATGGTCCCAACTCCACTCGCCACTCCAGCCCCAGCTCCAGCAGACCCTGGGGGCAGCAGCGGCTGGTGGTTCAAGTAGCTAGGTCCATGCCACCCCCCTGGGAGGCCCTGGGTTCCCACTGGTCAACTTCGGTGGTGCTCACTGCAGATGTTTGCAGGAGTATGGGAGCTCAGTCTGTCTGCCTCTCAAATAAAACCTGTTTTTTAAAGGCTGAAAAAAAAAAAAAAAAAAAAAAACAGTTCTCCCAAAAGGCACTGTTGGGAACAGATGGACTTTTGTTCCTGCTGGTATGGAAAGCGGACTGGAGGCTCCAGAACGCGTAAGGCCCAGGGTTTTCCCAGCTTTCAGAATTCCATGTTGTCTTTTACTTAAGCACTTTCCCCCAGGTGAGCCTGCTGCCTCACCGACAGCTTTCCAGCCAAGTGGACAGCCATCCGGTCAGGAACTGGAATCAAGGACTGGAGCGCTCTGGAACTCGCTCCTCCAGCTAACACCTGCACCAAATCCCTGGGCCCCCACATTTAGGCCACCGGCACAGGCTGCAGCTCTCCCCACCCCCAGAGATATGCTTTAAAACAAAGTCAACAAGAAAAATCCCACTGAACTATAACGCAGGTCAAGAGGTCAGGGTAGGGTGGGGTGGGGTGGGGTTGACACTGCTAAATCCCAGTTCATTTGCGGTTTCAGGAACCCTGGGGCTGGGAGACGTGAGCCAGTCCAGAGGGAACCATCCTGCCTCCCACCTGGGGTCCCAGCGTTGCCGCAGCTCCCTGCCAGGACGCCTGCAGAGGACTGCTAACAGCAACCAGGCCAGCGAGGGGCTCGGACAAACAGACCTGGCCTTTCGCGGGCTCGGCTGCTTCTTGACCACTAGCCCTCCTACCGAACGAGGCAGAATGGTTCCAGGTGGAGTTCATGGACAACTGAATTAAAATTTCCTTTGGTGTGAATCAAATGTTAAAATACAGCCCCTACAAGGGTTTCATCAGAAACACACGCTGGCACCCACTCAAACCCTTTTAGTTTCATCTCCCCACTGACTCCGACTCTCCCCCAACCCCCATGGTGACAGAGGTGGGGTGCAGGAACTCAGTGCAGTCCCTTGATGCACCCAAGCCAGCCTCTGGTCCCACCCAGGAAGAACCCCAAGGCACTCAAGACCCCAAGTTGGCCCCTACAGCCACCCCGGGTCTCCGCCTCTGGGGCCGGGATGGGCGGAGGTTCTCAGCAGGGACTCTGGGAGGCTCTGTGGGTGGCCAGGATCCCCCACACACGCACCATGGCCAGTTCCTCACAGTCAGAGGTTCCTCTGGTGTTCCTCCGTGCAATGAAACTGCAAGTCTGGCTGGGCTATTACGGAAACACAAAGCGAAGCAGTTATCTCAGAAGGGAGAAAAAAGGAGTCCTCCAGCCACCTGGAGAATTGGGACTGAGTGGAAAAAAACAGCCTGCAGCTGGTGCAAGGCAACCTCGGGTGGGCATCTGCCCCCTCGGGGCCTCCCCACTGGCTCCCAGGTCGCTGTGCCTGAGACCCTGTGGGCCACTCACAGGGATTAGCTCCAGGAAGACAGGCCACTTTTGGTTGAAGCAACCCTGCTCAGGTTTTAAGCCTGTGCATGGAGAAAGGCCGAGCCAGACACACACACACAGAGGAAATCCCAAATCTCACAACCTCAGTTTCTTTTAGAAGTTTTTAAAATCCAGAGAGAGAGAGAGAAACAGTCTTCCATTCCCTGGTTCACTCCCCAAATCACCATACCAGCTGGGGCTGGCCATAGCCAGGAAACTGCAGCTTCATCCGGGTCTCCCATATGGGTTCAGGATGCCTGGCCATCTCCCGCTGCTTTCCCAGGCACATTAGCAGGGAGGTGGGTCAGAGGTCCAACAGCCAGGACTCAAACTAGTGCTGCTAAGGGGCGCCGGCAGGCAGCGGCTCAACTTGCTGTGCCAGTGCTGGCCCCTGATTTTAATTTCTATATTATTATTATTACTATTATGATTTGAGAGGCCAAAAGAGAAATATATACACAGAGGAAATTCTCATTTCCTGGTTTCCTCCCACAGATGTCTGCAAAGGCCAGGACCAGGCCAGGCTGAAGCCAGAAGTCAGGTGCCCATTCCGGGTCTCCCATGTGGGTGGCAGGGGCCTGAGCACTTGAACCATCATGTGCCACATCCCAGGGTGCACCGGGAAGCAGGGATGAGGGTTGAGGTCAGCAGGGATGGGGAATAATTCCAGGTGTGGGGGGTTTAACCAGCATAACAAGGAGCAATCAAACATGCCTGTGTTTCTTGAACAACTTGTATAGCACAGAGGGCAGTGTGACAAAGGATGAAGGCTGTTGCACCACCACAAAATGAGCCCCTGTGACAAGGAGTGTACAGCACACCTGGTCACACACCAGACTGCTCACACTCCTATGGGGACTGGCTTCCAGGACAGTCCTCAAGTACACAAACGCAGGGACACTGCGGGCCCTGGGGCAGAGGGCAGCGGGGCCACGCCCTGGGCCACAAGGCGCTCACTCACCCTCCAGCCGGCCTTGGGATGACTCTGCTTCCTCTGGTGAAACGGGGCTCCTGATGGGGCTTCCTCCTCCCTGTCTTTGTTCTCTCTCCTGGTCCCACTCCTCTTCCTCCTGCGCCTCCTCTGCTCCGGGGCTCAGGCTGGCCAGCAGGAAGCTCTGACTCCCGCAGCCAGGCCTTTTCCGGGTGGGTGGAAGCGTCTAACACTGCCCCCAAAGCATCCCTTCAGCACCCCCGGGGGGCTCCCAAAGGCCCCTTCTTTCCATAATCCTCAGGATCCAGGAGGCATCTCATGAGACTTCCGGGTTAACCATCCAGAGATACTTGTGGATTCATCAGAAAACAACGGGCAATTCCACCAGGAACAGCCATTCTCTCTCAGGATCAAAACCTACATCGCCCTTTGTCTTCGCTCAGCCACAAGCAGAGGCTGAAACATAAGGCAAACCCTCCTTAGCTTTCCTATCCCTAAAAACCTAAGAAAAAGTCAAGACAATGAGTTTGCCAAGGCTAATTTCCAGAAATTCATCAACTAAACTGCATTTTTAAAAAGCCCATATTTGAGATGCAGCACTGGAAATGTAAGAGAAACAAAACCCACGCTGACGGGGTCATGATCGAAGGCAGAGGCCCACGCAGCTTCCTTTAGTTTTAATGGAACCACAGACACAGCTGTCATGTGTATGGCAACTGTGTTGCCCTCAGTGGTTGGCGAAAACAGATCAGGTGCCTTCCATTACCCAGCTGCCCTGGCGATTATTCACTCCCCACAGACAACCAAGTTTTGATCAAACAGCATAATTAAACCATCCTTTGGCTTTCCAAGCAGCTAAAATAATTTGCAAAACTAAAATCAAACCATCTGTCCAGTGAAAAAACAGTACCTTTCACAACAAGAGATCCCATGCGCACCTCTGAGGTGTGACAGGATGAAGGCTGCAGCAAAACACGAGAGGTCCTCCTTGTAGCAGAGGAACAAAATATTCCAGGAGCCAGCCCTGCCACACAGTGTGTTAAACTACTGCCGGTGGCTGTCCCATAGGAGTGCCACTTCAAGACCAGGCTGTTCCACTTCCTATCCAGCTCCCTGCTAACGCACCTGGGAAAGCAGAGGAGGATGGCCCAGGTGCTTGGGCCTCAGTACGCACGGGAGACCTGCAAGAAGCTCCAGGATTTGGAAGCCCAGGCTGTTGGAGCCATTTGGGGAGTTAGCCAGTGAGTGGAAGATCTTTCTAACTCTGAATTTCAAATCAATTGGTAAATATTTTTAAAAATATATATTCCTAACAAATCATTCAATGCTGATTTTTAAACAACACAAACTTACTTAATGGCTCTGACACTGCCTTGGTGCAGCTGTCTCTGCTTACAGACTTTACACCTAAACTTTATTACCTCGATTAAGATGCTCTGACCAGCTAGCCAGCCCCGTGTGACAGCCACTCAGCTGCAGCCTTTTCCCTCTGGATTACCAAGCAGGGCAGTCTTCTAAGTGTCTGTGTGGCCCAACAGGAGCTGTCCCATCCCTGCTGGTAGGTCGGCCTGGGAGCCTGCAGCCACCTCGGTCCCACATGGACTGTTCTTCGCTGTAATGACAACTGTGCTCTAACACAAACAGCTTATTCTTTGTGGAAAACAATTTTGCCCATCACGTGTGCCTCTCAGCAGCCATTCATTTCCATGGGGCCCCCTGGTCTGATATCTGAGGACACAGAACCTCCAGGGCTCTGCGGGGACAGCTGGGATGTGTTAAACAGGCCCTGTACTCTGGCATAGCTTCCTCTGTAGGTGTTTAAGATGGCAAAATCTTTCTAACTGAAGTCTTTCTCCTGGTCTCCAAAGACCATTCTCTCCCGACAGTCTTAGTGAATCCCACAGTCTAATTAGAGTAAGATCCTACGCTTAAACAAATTACTCCTGAGAACTTCGAGCTACAAGATTGAAGGAAATAGTAAGTCTTAGGGTAGACACTTGCCAGCCAACGCCCCCTCCTCCCCAACACCCGAGTTAATACTGCACTGAAAGGTTTTTAGCAGCATGCATTTTAGAATCCTCCGAGTGCCTCAGAACACACAATATGGATCTAATTAAGTCCAGCTGCCTTGTGTTAGTAATAAAATCGTAAGGGGGAAAGAAGAGAGAAAGACGCTGGGGTGGAGGTTTTATGTGCCCCTCCAGTGCCCGGGTGATGGCAAACGCCCAAGCCAAGCGCATCCTCAGGGCTCGCTCCGGGCAGCGCACGCTTCCTACACCGCCAGCGCGGCTGGTACCCGGCTGGTACCCAGCTCGGAGCTCCAACTTGCCCGCGGCTCGCCTTTCCGCAACACATCTGCCACAGAGATTTGCAGAAGGGCCGGAGCCCCGCGCTCGGAGCCCTCTCCACCCCCACCGCCCGGGCCCCGCGCCCGCCCCGCTCCACCACTCACACCAGTGCCGACGGACAGGGCATCTGGTTCCAGGGACAGTTGTACTGCGCCTGAATAAAACTCTCGCTGCCTTCCAGCACCGAGCAGCTCACGTTCTTGTTCACGACGTACGCGCACCAGTTCCTGGGGGAAGAGAGCGGGAGCAGTGTAAAGCCGGAGAACAATGAGGCGGGGGAGAGAGGAGGGCGAGCTGATTGAGCAGCGTGACCGGCGAAGGGCAGGGAGCACGCAAAGTCAGAGGGGCACGGGGCTGCCTCCCGCCCTGCGAGCACCCTCACCCGAAAAAGGCCAGAGGGAAGCCCCGCAGCAGCCAGGGCGCCTGTGATGCCTGGGAATGTCTTCCCGCTCGCTCTGCTCGGCCCCACACCCCCTGCGCCCCCACATCCCAGCACTGTTCAGCTCTGGGACGGCCCGCGCCAGCACCCCGCCACCCGGAGGAGCGGCTCCGGGGAGCCCGAGGCGGACGCCCGAGTGGTCTGGGAGTGCAGCGGCGAGTCTCGGGCGGAGCACGCAGGGACCCCGGACGCTCAGAGCCACTTACTTGTTCCTGGCGCTGGGCCGGGCTGGGTAGCCAGGCTGCGGGCCAGCCTGGCACAGCCCCGCACCTCCCAGAGCCAGCAGCGCCAGCAGCGCCCAGGGCCGGGTCGACTGGCACATGGTGCGCGAGTGCCGAGTGCGGCGGAGCGGGCTGAGCGCCACGAGGCTGCGGCGGCCGGGGCGCCGCCCGGGAAGGCGAGAAGCTTGGGCACTTCGCGGCGCCCCCGCCCGCCGCCGCCGCCGCCCCCTCCGGCTTCTCACTCCCACTTCTCCTTGGGCAGCCCCGGGAGCCGGGCGCTGTTCCTCGGTCCCTCAATGACGCACAGATCCCCCCCGGGTGCCGCCCTCTTTATTTCACTTCCCTCTCCGAAACGTGACTCTCCAGTACGTCCTCCTTGGTCTCCAGTGCCCTCTGCTCTCGGCAGGGGGCCGGGGGTGAAAGAGCTAAAGGGTCTGGGATCAGGGTCTCGGTTACAGAATTTCCAATTACTCATTCCTTTGGTCTTGTCCCAGCATCGCAGCGACTCCGCCTCCCACCTTCCCACCGGCGCCCCCACCCCGGCCCCTCGGGGGGTGGCCGCAGTCGGAGAGTCTGGCGGTGCCCGCGCCACGCCTGGGGGCCGGTCCCCGGGGCCGAACCTGGGACATCTTATCAGTGTCTCCTCCCCACCCCACCCGGCTGGAGGGCGGGGGCGAGGGACGGCGTCGGGGCTGCCCTCGGATTCTCTCTGGCAGGCTGCGGCCACTGTCCCACAACCAGTGAGGACTTGAGCGACTTCAGGGTGGAGGGACGCGCGCCGCGTCGTCCGACGGCTTCCAAGTCCCCGGGCGCCAGGACAGCGGGAGCCCAGGCCGCGTCTCCCGCGGCGTCCCGGGGCTCTTCGCAGTCTGAGCTCCCGGTGTCCCGTCCTGAACCTGCCTGTCCGGCCTTGGGCTAGCGTGGACGTGCCGAGGCACTGCCCGGTCGTGCTTCTTCCCTTGCACGAGTGACCCCTAGTCTCTACCAGTTTACTTTGGGGCTGCAGGCGCTCCTCGGAAGAATGCTAAGGAAAAACTCTGGCCCATCTGGAGGGCGATGGATCTGAGATGAGCCCTGTAGGCAGGTGACCACGTGCGGACTGCGAGGTTGATGTCGCACCGCTGAGTTCGTCCCCGGGCACTGTGGGCTGCTCCACGCATGACAAAGCCTTGCTGTGATTCCTGCCCTAGCAAGTGAGGCCACTGGTCCCTTTTGCTTCTAATATGTTTTGGTGGTGGTCATGGTGGTGCGCCTTTTGAAAGAAAGATTCTCAAATACAAAATTCTCAAGAGCCAAGCACGAAAGTCTGTCGTGTAAGGACATAATCTGTCCATGAACTCCCTAAATGAGGGCCATGCAAAAATGATGGACGGAAGTTACCGCAACCTTCGGAAGAGCCACCGCCTGTGGGGTGGCGGAATTGGGGGAGATAACAGAGAGCGTACTAGGTTGTTTTGAGAAACCCAATCTGTAACTTCCTTGTGACTCATCCTCACCAACAGCGTGTCCGGGACCAGTCGCTGAGAATAAAGGCGCGTGGAAATGCACGGGAGTTCAAGCGAGAGAGGCATATCTGTTTTCTTTTTTCCACTGCGTCCGTTACACTAGGAAGCTGTCCCAGCTCGAGGCCCAGCTCCTCATTGAAATGACCATGATATTATACTTAAGCAGCTATGTGTACCTTGGGGTGACATGAATGGCATCTGGCACTAAATAACCTGGATGCTGAGCATCTGTTCCGTGCTAGGCATTGCGCGAACCTTACGTGCTCATGAGGCCCCTGAGCTTCAAAGCACTCCTGACAGGTCGGGGGTGGGGGACTTGAGACCCCGTTCCGCAGCCAATTGGGTGAGCCTAGGCTGGTTTCTCTAGACGCAGACCCAAAGGGACCCAGCCTGGGGCTGCTCTGGGAGGATGGGTGAAGCTTGGCTTTGAGGAGGTTGCCAAGGGGCTAGAGGCTTAGCTCCCAAGAAACTCTTGCCTTTGGTCTTCTCTCCAAAGCAGCAGCTAGAGACCCACGGTAGCTTCTGGTGTGTGGAGGACAGGAAGCTGCAGACTAATTGAACAGGCCATCTGGCTGCAGCCAGAAGCAATTATGTGGATATAATTGGCAACATGCTACACGTGTGACGTCTTCAAATGCTTCTAATTACCTTAAGGGAGCACGTAGAAAATCGTCAGTTTCCTCTACCAATCTGAAGGAATTTCTACTGGTTCTAAGACAAAAAAACATCAGTGGGCGTGTGATCCAGAGGCTAAGGCAGCTCGGTCCCGCACCAGAATGTCCTTTGGTTCCTGCCTGCAGCTGCTGACTCCTGCTTCCTGCGGATGCAGAGCCTGGGAGGCCACGGGGATGGCTCAACTCGCTGGAATCTGCCACCCACGAGGGGAACAAGTTCCCACCCTTTGGCTTCAGCCCCCTGCCCCTCCCTTGCATGCATGTGGGGCGTGAACACTTAGATGGGAGTTCTCTCTTCCTCTCTACATAAACACAAACACAACTTTCAAAAGTGTTCCATGGTAACTTACACACTTGTGTGGCTCACTTACCTAAGACAAAAATTAAAATAGGACCACTCTGTAAAACCTATTCTCTCACCCACTTGTGGGACATGCTATTGGAGATGTGACCTTCCTAGGCCTGCAGTATGCCAGGAGCCCCTTCAACAGCCCGGTGGAAGCGGGTGGATTATTACTGAGGCAGCAGTGGGCACACCTCCCCTATCCCCCATTTCCACCCTAACTGTGCAGGGGGACATTGGATCCTGATGAGCTGATCAAGATAAGCTGATTTGTATCTGGGATGTGGTCACGAGTCGTTGACCCAGACTTCCTGCCTTTCTGATTGCTCATCACTGCTTTCTCGAAGAAATTTCCCCTAGATGTCATGATCTAATTTAGGTGACTGTATGTTTTCTTTGTTCTACTGATTAATGAATTAACTGAATTAATGATGAAAAAAAGAAAGTCTCTTACAACTAAATATCTTGAATAATAAATCTTTGAAAAAAATATTTGATTTGAGAGGGAGAGAGAGTTGCTTCGGATGACTGGCTCTCTGCAGGCTCACTACAGCCCAGATGGGCAAGCCGGGAGCTGGAACCGCCACCCTGGCCTCTCCCGCAGGTGGGAGCATCTCTGCTACTTGGGGTGTCACCACCGCCTTGACACGGGGCTGGGAGCTGGAACGGGGGCACTGAACTGGGCACACCTCCATAGCAGGTGATCCAGCCTCTGAATAGACATAATTTATGACGTTAGTAAAGTGTTTCTAATGTATTGCTCTGACAAAATGTCTTATATATCCCTGAGTGTAAACTGCTGTTATTTTACAAAACTATATAGTTTGATAGGGAGATACAGACTAAATTAACTGAGAAAAACTAGCTGGCTATAACATCCAGCAGAGCCTGAGTCTTCAAATCGTAGAATCTGAGCATCACAATTTAGTTTACTTCCATCAAGTCTCTAAACCTCAAAATTTGTAAACAATAGCTGTCCTATCTTATCACAGGGTTTGAACAGATAGAAGGGAGCAAAGAATACTGACTCTACAATTTTTATTATTTGCAAATTTTTCATTCATTATGGGTAGCTAAGGAGTGAAAGGTTTCAAATACTTTCTAAACTCGGACAGATCTTATCAACCGATCAGATGACCTCATAAGGACAACATTCTTTTCATAATTTTTCTTCCGGATGTCAGGAGTTCGCTTTCTTATATTCATTTTGAATGTGTACCTTGGGGTGACATACAGCCCAGTCCCCTACCTGCAGTGCCGCCATCCAATTTGGGCAGAGGTTCATGTCCTGGTTGCTCTGTTTCCCATCCAGCTTCCTGCTTGTGGCCTGGGAAAGCAGCAGAGGATGGTTAAGTCCTTGAGCTCCTGCTCCCAAGTGGAAGACCCGGAGGAAGCTCCTGGCTCCTGACTTCAGCTCAGCTCCGACCCTTGAGGCCATTTGGGGAGTGAACCAGCGGATGGAAGATCTTTGTCTCTGTCTCTCCTTCTCTCTGTAAATCTGCCTGACCAATAAAAATAAAGAAGTCTTAAAAATGATTCTGTCTTTCCCTCTATCTCCATAACACTGATTTTCAAATAAATCTTTAAAAGAAAAAGTTGAAATCACACACATAAAACACATGTTCAGGAGTTGATGCAATGCTGTTAGTGTGTTGTTTCCAATTTGGTGACCTCATCAATCCTAGCGGAATGATCTCAGACAAGCAATCCGCCTCCCTAGACTCAATTTTCTCCTCAAAAAACTGCAAGATCTCAAGTGGTTCTTGCTAGACTCGGCGTAGACTTAGCATAGCACCAGGCATGCCGCTAACGGAGGACACAGATTCACAGCTGTTGTCACCACTTTAGTAAGAAGAACCAATTAGGACCTGCTGGCCTGGCTTCAGGAGCTTTCCACTGTGTGTGCCCCTGACAGATGTGGCCAGCAACCTTTCACGGCAGGCAGCCCTTCTCTCCAAACAGGGAGTATAGAGAGCAAACATGCAAAACTGAGTTAGAATACCCCTACATGTGATAGTCAAAACCAGAATCCCGGGGATGGCATTTGCCCAGTAGATAAGGCATCCTCTCATGTCCCATTCCAGAGCATCTGGGCTTGTTACCCGGCTCCTGCTGTGTGCTCCAGCTGTCTGCCAACGTGGCCCCTGAAATATAACCGTAATGGTGATGGCTTAAGTGATTGGAGTCCTGCCCCCTGCATGGGAGATGTGCACTACGTTCCTAGCTCCAGCCGCTGTGGGCAGCTGAGGAGTGACCCAGCAGCTGAAGCGCTCTCCCTCCCCGCCTCCCTCTCTCATGTTTTTATAAAAAGCAGAACACTCGACTCTTGACTTCTAGCCCACTTTTCGTCCTCCAGCTCCCAAGAGGAACCAGCTCACAGCCTGTTGCTTCAGCGCCTTCGCCCTCCACACTGTGAAGTCATGTATTTTAGAATCATTCAATGAGTTCTTCGGCAGAATTACTAATGCTCCATTAATAAATTCAGATCATCAAGCAATTCAATACAAAAAATGGCCAAAATTAGCTCCTAATTCCAAACCACTTAGTTTTTTTCCAAGTGCTTCATCAATTTAAGAGCACTTCCGATAGCTAATTCTTGTCATCTACTCCATTTCAGATTTGACTGCTATCATGTTTATGGTGTGGTATCGCACACATTTTTTCATCATATGCAATAACTGACAAATAGGCTGTTAGTAATTTCTGGTTTTTCCCAAGATTGCTTCAACGGCTTAGGCGATAGTGTCTTTATGTATAAAACCACATCAAG